CCAGGATAATAATATTAGAGGGTTGGATGGAAAACAATTTTGTTATCAAAAATTTTTTTCTATACATTTATTGGATAACTCCCTCTTGGTTTATATTTTATTGGGTTTGTAAGGAGTATGAGGCAGAGATATGGATAGTGATAAATGTGAATACACATATTTCATTCACACATTTTCTTACTAAGAACTTTATTAGGCTATCATACTTTTTACTGTCAAATTTGGTTATATGGTCTCAATGGAATACAACCGAGCTTGTTAAACAATGGTATGTACATGGAATGGAAAATTTTGGTCCCATGGTGTCTAAGCATATTAAAAATAAATTGTTTCTTAAGGCAAATGGCCAGAATTTGGCTAACACAAAGACACGGCTTATAATAAACTTTATTTATTCATTTATATCATGAGTATATTAAGTTGGAACTGTCGGGGTGCGGGAGGTTCAGATACTGTTCAACGGATCCGGGATTTTCGCCGCCAATACTTCCCAGATTTTTTATTTCTTATGGAAACCAAACAGAAAGTGGCGTATATGGAATCTCTAAAATCTAGTTTGGGTTATGATCATTTACATACGGTCGAACCGCTTGGGCGTAGTGGTGGTCTAGCTTTACTGTGGAAAGGATGTTACAAAGTGGACATTATTTACAGTGACAATAGAATTATTGATTTGAAGGTAAAGATGGGATCTATTGAATTCTTCCTTTCTTGCATATATGGTGATCCAGTAAGAGGAAGAAGAAGATTCGTTTGGGATAAGTTAACAGATATAGGGATGCTCAGGGATGAAGCATGGGTATTGGTTGGGGATTTTAATGAATTAATGCATAATGGAGAAAAATTGGGAGGTCCTACGAGAGAGGAATCAACTTTTTTCGATTTTAGAAACATGGCGGAAGCATGTAAAATTAGAGAGATGAGAACGACGGGTAACACCCTTTCATGGGCGGGGATGCGGGACCATCACTGGGTACAATGCCAATTGGATAGGAGTTTTGGGAATGAGGAATGGTTTCGTCTTTTCCCTCAATCCTCCACAGACTATATGACTATGTGGCCTTCAGATCATAGGCCACTACGTATAGTGTTCGCCTTTGAACCAGAGAGCTTACAAAGGGGAAGGTTTTATTTTGATAAACGTATGTGGGGGAAAAGAGGAGTAGAGGAAGCCATTGTTCGGGGATGGGACAAGGAGAATGTTAATTCAAATCTAAGTGTTCTTGAGCGTATCGCTCGATGCCGATCGGAACTATCCAAACTTAAAAAATCTAATGACTGGAATTCTAAAGCAAGAATAGACCGATTACAAACGGAATTGGACAAAGAAAGTTCAAAGCAATTTCCCATTTTGGGTTTGATTAGAAGATTAAGGCAAGATCTGGCTTCAGCTTATAGAGAAGAGGAAATATTTTGGCGACAAAGAAGTAGAGAAGAATGGTTACGGGAAGGTGACAGAAATACAACTTATTTCCATAATGTGGTCAGAGGAAAACGAATAAGAAACAAAATCCTTATGCTTCGCGATATCTTTGGTAGTGAACATTATTCAGAGGGGTCGAAAGGACATATTGCTACTGAATATTTTAAAGAACTGTTTACAAGTTCAAATCCAACAGACCTAGAATCTTTGTTTGAGGGTTTTGACAGTAGAGTAACGGCGGGCATGAACACGATGTTAACCAGAGAGGTTTCGCAGGACGAAATTAAAAAAGCAGCCTTTGGGATTAAAGGCAGTAGTGCCCCGGGTGAAGATGGTCTCACAGGTTTTTTCTATCAAAAATACTGGCATATTGTGGGACAGACAGTTACGGAAAATATTCAAAGTTTCTTTAAAACGGCCATTATCCCTGATGGATGGAACCATACACAATTATGTTTGTTGCCAAAAATCTCACATCCTACGGATATGAAGGATATGAGACCTATTAGTCTGTGTAGCGTTCAATACAAGATTATCTCTCGGATCCTCTGCGATCGCCTTAAGGTTGTTCTGCCACATATAATTTCAGAGACGCAAGGTGCTTTTGTTGGTGGAAGGTTAATTACTGATAATATTATTATTGCTCACGAATTGATACATGGGTTAAGAACAAATGATAAACTCGGTAAAGAAGGTATGGCTATTAAGACAGATATGTCAAAAGCTTATGATCGGGTAGAATGGAATTTCTTAGAGGTTCTCCTTGAAAAATTGGGATTTGAACGTAAATGGGTAGCATGGTTAATGTCATGCATCACTACTGTCACTTTCTCGGTTTTACTTAATGGACGCTCCCATGGTTTCATCAAACCAGAAAGAGGAATACGTCAGGGTGACCCTTTATCCCCTTTTCTTTTTATCCTTTGTGCTGAAGCCCTGATCCATGTCCTAAACAGGGCGGGGTCACAAGGAAAATTGCATGCTCTCAAGTTGGCTAAAAATAGCCCGGCAATCCATCACCTACTTTTCGCGGATGATAGTTTGTTACTCTGTGAAGCCTCAATCCAGGACAGTGAGGAAATTTTGAAAGGATTAAAACTTTATGGGGATGTTTCTGGTCAGATGATAAATTATTCTAAATCATCTATTATTTTTGGGAAACACATCAATGATGAGACCAAACAGGCAATAAAGGAAATTTTGGGAATCGAGAAAGAAGGTGGTGAAGGCACGTACCTAGGTCTCCCTGAATGTTTTCAGGGTTCAAAAAACGACCTTTTAAACTTTATTAAAGAAAAATTAGAAGGAAGATTACAGGGTTGGTATTCTAAAACCTTATCGATGGGGGCCAAAGAAGTTTTAATAAAATCAGTCGCTTTAGCACTTCCTGTTTATGCAATGTCAGTTTTTCAATTACCAAAAGGTCTTTGCGAAAGGATAACGAGTGCTATAATTGAATTTTGGTGGAGTAGTGGAGATAAAAAAAGGAAAATTCCATGGGTATCATGGGAAAAATTATGTAAACCAAAGGAAGATGGAGGTCTTGGATTTCATGACATCGGTCGTTTCAATCAAGCTTTGTTGGGGAAACAAGCTTGGAGGATTTGGAACAACCCAGAATCTTTGGTCTCAAAAATTTTGAAAGGCAAATATTTTAAAAATGGTGATTTTCTTGACTGTGGTATGGGAACCCGTCCTTCGTATGCCTGGAGGAGTATCATGCATGGTCGCGAATTATTAAAAAAGGGTTTATATCGGCATATTGGTAATGGTGAGATATCCAATGTGTGGGCGGAAAACTGGATTATAGACAATATTCCTCGTCCACCGATGTATCGAGAGAATAGTCCCATCAATTTAGCATTAAAGGTCTCAGATTTATTGGTCCCGGGATCGAATCAATGGAATGAAAATCTACTCCACCAAACATTCACGACGCAGGATGTTCAGCGAATATTAAAATTGAAACCAGCTTTGTTGCAAGAAGATTCTATTAGATGGGGTTTTACATCAAATGGATCTTACTCAACCCGAAGCGGGTACAAACTTTTGGAGGCTTTGGTGGGTATTGAACATCCCCACACCCACTCTCTCTCTCCTATTGAAAAACAATTGTGGAAAGATTTATGGAAGATAAAATCCCCGCCAAAAATTAAGCATTTTATGTGGCGTGCTTTGTCAGGTGCTTTAGCGGTCAAACAAAGATTAAATACAAGGGGTATTCCAATTGATCCGACTTGCACTATGTGTGGTAATGGGGCTGAAAGCATATGTCATGTCCTATTCACATGTGATAAAGCAAAGGCGGTATGGGATCAAGCCCAGGTCCCAATACCATCAGGAGGGTTTTCACGGAATTCTACATTTTTAAACTTCCTGCATTTGATAAAAACTGCGAAAAATGCGACAACAGAGTTTCAGTTAGGAAAAGTTTTTCCTTGGTTATTGTGGGAAATCTGGAAATCTAGAAATGATTTCATTTTTAAATCAAAGGATAATGAGGCAGCCTATATTGCTAAAAAAGCCTACGACGAGGAAGCCACTTGGTGTGACACGTTCACAAAAGATGGAAGCGATGAGACCAATGGAAATAAACTATTGTGGAAAAAACCCCCTAAAGGTTTCCTCAAATGTAACGTTGGATCCTCCTGGGTAGGCGAGAATTGTAGTAGTGGTGCTTCGTGGATCCTGCGTGACGATAGAGGATGTACACTTATGCATAGTCGCCGAGCTTACTCATGTATGCGTTCAAAGGTCGAGGCTGACCTATGGGCCCTTTTTTGGGCAGTGGAGTGTGTACAGGCTATGCGCTACTCAAACATTATTTTCGAGACGTCATCTGAATACCTACACAATCTACTATCCCAGCCGAGCGTTGATCAAAGGTTCAGCCACACACGCCACAGCATATCACTAATTCTCGCTCGAATAGAAGACTGGAGCATTGAACACGCTTTCTCCGAACGAAATGGTGCTGCTGATGCTATTGCACTTAGTGTCACTCGTGATCTTCGACATCAATCTTACATTGCCCGTTACGCTCCAGCCTGGCTTCACAGACTTCTCGCACTGGAGGCGAAATAGGTTGGTTTTGTATGAGTTTTCCTAGGCCTTTATTGTCTTCTGACATGTTCTTTGCCTTGTAGCTCATACGTGACATTTTCTTTGTTCCCGTTGGTTAAACTTCAGTGTTATAAAAAAAAAAAATATATTCTTGGACAAACCGAGTTTATTAATTTTCCTTTGTTATAATTATCAACGACCATTTTGTATTTTTCTTCACCTTGTTCATTTCCATTCCCATTTTTATATTCTCTTATTATTTCATTATAATTATTTGACAATTTTACAAGTACATGAAATATTCTATATAAAATATATAGTAATCAGTAATCAAACTAAAACTTAACAAATTATTTTTATTAAATGTTATAATATTATTACTATTATAAACTTTAATAAATCTATATTTTTTGTTTGTTTCATTTACGGCATTAAAATCCGCAAGAACAGGTCTGCTTCTTATCGTGTATATGTGCCTTGTCTCTATGGATGCATAGATCATCAATGTTTTCAAATTTATTGCAGCATTTGCCTCAAATATTTTTTGCGCGACTAATTATCAGTAATAACTTAGTGTATGAAGATATATAGATCAAAACACAGAAAACTAATCCGTAGAAACAACGAGGACTGGATCAGATTAATTCAAGAGTCCCAGCAATTTTCAAATAAAACAAAATTTTAAACAAGATGCTCATATAGATAGGTATATTTGTAACATACATCAACCAAAAGCATAGTTTAAAATTACTTATATGGAAACATTTTTCTCAAAGAGAGATAAAACCTTCGCTGACAAGCAAGCCAAAGAAGAGGACAAAGAGACCAGCGCCGATAGATGTGCCCGGAGAAACATAGGCCTGAGAATAAGCACCGAGAGTCAACGCACCTCCAACGAGCCCGATCACCAGAGATTGCATGTTTCTTCTGCTCACGCTTCTTTGCCTTGGCTGCACCTTCTGATCTTCTTGTTCTCCATCTTCTTGTTCTCGCTTCTCTTCTTCTTTCTCTGACTTCCTTCTTTGTCTCACCATGCTTAGGGTTCTCTGATTAGATGGAAAGAATCTGGTTGTGATTCTGTGATGCGGGTTTGATTGTGTGTTGTGATTTGTAGTTATAAGTTAATGATGGAGACAAACATGGTCTTTTGGAGATTGCTTGGAGGCCTTTTCATCGACAGAAAAAAAAGTCAACTCTTAATAGTGGTACATAGATCTAAGATTCTTGTATTAATTACTATTATGTTATAAAACAACTAGTGGCCGGTGATAGTTGAAACTTGAAATTTCAGCAATATTCAAGTATATGTGTGTACATTATTTGTTGTTCAAAACAAAAACCGAAATAAATATGATGGACATTGTGTCTATTTTAAGCCTTTTAAAAACTTTATTTTAAGCCTTTTACAACCGTTATTTTAGCGTTTTCATTTCCAAATGTGGATTTATTATTCATAGAAAAAGTTTTAACTTTCAACTCATATTATTAGAACTATAGTCTTGGTAGAAATGAGTTATATGTACAGTAAAAATTTTATATATTATTATTCGATAAATAATATTATAAATTAATAAATTTTTCAAATCCCAAATTAGATCTATGATATAAATCGATAATATAATAAGATCATACACTTTAAAAAAATCTTATGTTAATATATGGTCTTGTTAAAATTAGAAATTATTAATTTATATGTATATATTTTATATAAATACAAACAAATCAATATACTTATATTCATAATTGAATTAATTTTATATTTTCTTAACACTTAATATATTTTGATGAGATTTAGTAGAATTATATCTACAACATATTTAAATTTATGAAACCTATTTTATCTACACGAAATAATATCTTAAAACCAATATGAATATTAAAATTTTAATTAATATATATATACTAAAATTAAATATTTTTCTCATATGAAAAAAATATTTAAATTAAAAAAAAATCCAAAAAGATTTTTTATAAATTAATAAAATATCATAGTTCCAACGTTATTAGTTTATAGATTTTACTGTATTTAGTTTTTGTAGCTCATAGACAAAATAATATATATATATATAACTAGTTTATAGCCCAGTTGACAAAAAAAACTAGTTTATAGCCCAAGTTTTTTTTATATTAATCTGGGGTATCCTAAATACATGGAGAGATCCAGACTAATCTCAAAGAAAAGTGTAGTCCATAGATAGATCATTTTTTCTGGATATTGAAATGGACATTAAAACATAGACTCATATCCGTGTTAAGTGACTAGAATAATTGTGACTTAGTTTCGAACCTAGAACATGTTAGGGTCTCCTTACCACTCGACCACATATATATTTTAACAATTAATCGGTAAAACTTGTTTCTTATTTTGGGAATTATGGTTTGTATGTTTTGTATTTAAAAGAAAAAAAAATTGGTACATTTTTTGGAACCTTTTGTTTTTCATCATTTAAAAATTTTTAGAAAAAATTTAAATAATTTCTTATATAGCTTCAAAATTTAAAAAGAAATTAACTATAGAGTGATGGTCTACTGGTATACGGTTTTGATAAGTTAATCAATATATGTTCGAAAACATCTTTTTATACTTCTTTGTGATCACATGGATATAAAAAGAGTGAAATAGGACATGTTTAGGTTTCATTTAAATATCCAGGGATATTGAATTGTCCATCAAATAAATTTCATTTTTCTCTCTGGTGCTCTTATATTTTTTAACAACCTCTGGTGCTCTTATATAAACATAGGATACAAAAGTTAATCCAAAATTCGAAATTTTTTTAGGAAATATTTTATTTTGCGTTATGTGATTTGTTGCTTTAGTATTACATTACATGGGCTTGCATTCAAGGCCCATAAAGTATACGGATATGGGGATACGTCGCTTCTTGAAATCCTCTCGTTGACGTAATGTTTTTTTCTTTTTTGCCAACCATAATGATTTATCGAAGACAAGTTCCGAGGTTTTGGTGTAAGCTTTTAAACTTATAAACCGAAACGGTTCGACCGTCTTTCGAAAACCATTTTTTATACAAAGACGAAACAAGTTAGACTTTTGTCGAGAATTTCAGGAGATTACTGGCAGCAGAGACAAAGAAAACCCAAACTGAATCGGGTCGGGTCATAAGCAGCAAAGCGGATCCCTAATTTTGAATATATGCACATTAAATTAATTAGACAGATTCCCCAATTTTTCATATTTTCACGGGGATGTCCCAGTACTTGTGCAAATCATCATATACATACTAATAGCCCACCAACGCCTAAAAGATATAAGAAAACAAGAAGCCAAGAAGAAGAAAATTAGATGCTGGTGAAGAAAGCAAAGATCGGAGTTTCACTGAAATTCGTTTTCGAAATTTTCCTATGTCCAAGCTTATACTATATAGTAAACTCAAAGTAAAACCCTAGTTATGTCTGTATTTGTGGGCCTTAACCTTAATGTTTGGGCTTTTATGTATTACATTGGGTTTTTCCTAATTTCATCCTGATAATAGCCCATGGCTTTATTCTTGCCTTATGTTTTAAGCATAGATTAAGTGGTATTTTTAAAATGTTACAAAAAAAAAAAACTGGTATTTTTAAAGAATAATTCTTTGGATAATTTTATTGTCTCTTGAAAATACTATTAAGGAAATAAATGTCAAAATATAAGAATTTTATGAAACTATATAAGCTCTTAAATTATCGTATGAACCCATTTAAATCTTTTAAATGTGTATATATCAAAGCTTATAAACAACTATCTCAGAGTTTATAAATATGTATATAGTTATAAGCTCAATTAAAAACTCAATAATTTTTTTGTTATAGCTATCTTAAAATAACATTTTCGCATTTTAATAGTTTTGTCCCATGATCTGTTTATATTACTAAACCTTTTTAATACAGTTTTGTGTACACATCTGCTAATGCTAACAAATTAAAGACCAAAAAGTAAAATTTATAGTTGCTGGAAAATTGGGATGAATCAATTTTCATACGATACAACAATAAAAAAAAAATCAATACACACATTTTGCTGCGTTTAGTCCACATTATATGTAAAAATTTACATGCTCTTGCTTCCTCCAACTTCTTGAAAAGGCAAAGGTACAGACTTGAAGGCTCTGTATTTCCCCACATTGTTCAAATGCTCATTCTCCAACCTGATTTGCATACACACAAAATTAGAACACAAAAAGTTCATCTTATGATCTCTTTTTTTCCAAAACTTCTGAAATGTTGTTTTGAGTAAAAATAGAACCTGAAGAAGTTCCAAATGCCACGACGAACAATCTCTAAGATGGTAACAACAGCAACCAAAGCTCTTCTGTGCAAAAATGGAGCTTCCCTAATCCCAAGAACCGTCTGCATCCAAGCCAGCCTCAGCACCACATTCACCACCTTCATTTTACAATATCTCAATTAATAAATAATAATATTCCCCGGAATGAAAAGCTTATTATGTGCTTGTTTTTTACCATGGCAATGAAGTATATGCTTTTGTAAGGGATTAAGAGTTTGTCACGAAGCCAAGGGTTTTTGGAGTTGCGGTTCATTAGACCCCAATCCCTGAATATGTCCCAATAAGTATTGAACAATGTGGCAATGGTTGACGTGGTTACAGCCACCGTAAGCCAGTAGGTCCCTCTCTTTGTTTC